TGTTCTGAGAACACCAACAGCTTCTTTGTTTAATTTGCATTTTTTTTTTCATTTTTGTCTGTTTCCTTTTCTCATTGAGGCTTCTTGAACAGCTATACATCCTTTCAGACCCATAGCGCTGAGTCGTCTTCTCACAGTTGAGGGATGGACAGAAACACCTGTGGATTTTTTTAGATCTGAAGCAGCTTGATTTTCTTTTCTCTCTCAAAGATGAAAGCTTTAAGGTGTTTATTTGATGGGTGCAGTTTTGGCTTTGACTTTCTTTCCTCTTCCTTATGCAAGTGAATTATTTTATATATAATTTACTCAGTAATGTCTTACTTAATGACTTTTTGACTGACTTTTACTCAGTGCTGTATATACAGTGTGATTCAGAAAGATTCATCTGACTTCAAACTGATTTATTTCACTTGTAAATCATTACAGAGCAATGCAGCAAATTTTGTAAGTGGTTTAGGCCTGAATTTTATTATATAATTAAGTGCTCAATATGAACCTCCTCCAGCTGTATGAACAACATCCACGCCACAGTCAAATTCATCCCATACTCGATGTCGGGTGTCACTGTACTCACGGCTCTTTCATTGCATTTTTGGAGATTGTCCAGTGTTGTTGGGAGTGGTGGCACCTAAACAGAATCCTCAACCTACCCCCACAAAAAAAAGTCACACAGCGTGAGATCTGGTGATGCTGGTGACCTTTTTCTTGGAACTGTTGGTACCAACGATGAATGTTCTGAGCTGTTGGAGGTTCACTGCCATGCTGACTTTTAGAAACTCTATGACCCCCTCTTTCAATTGGTATGTGATTGGTTCCTAGGTGCCTCACGGTTGTAAAAATATGCCGCTTTGAAATAGGATGAATCTTTTTGAATCACCCTGTATATTTTTGGCCCACAATTTCTGCCTGACTCAACATCGTGTCACATGCGCTGTGAGCGCTCAGCCTCACCTCCTTAATGCACATCTCACCACTCACAGGACACTCAGCCATGCACCGGGTGAGCATCTCTCCAACAGTCATACATTGCAGAGAGAAACGTACAGCGAACATAGAGCGGGTGCTGTCAGCCACGCTAGCAGCCTTCCAGCCCTTATACTGGTTCTTCTGGTTCCTCTCCAGGACTTCATCTGCCCCTTGTGCTTTCTCATTCTGTCAGCATAGGCAGGTCATGCAAGGTTCAAACCACTCAGCGGTTCTGCTAAGTGTTTCTTAATCCCGTTACTTTATGAGGTAAGTTATGGCCGGGCAGCCCATGCTGATCGCCCTGGGGTTTGGTCAGGCAACTGGATCTCTGCTGCTCCGTCGCCCCTCGGGTGTGCTCACCTCATCCCGCTCTGTGTTAACACGAACACCTGGCTGTGTGTATCACTGTCTTCAGGCTGACTCTGACCACTTTTTCTGATATCTACTTTTGTGAACTTGAACTCGAAAAGACCTTCGTGTATTGTTATATAGGTATATGTTTTTGCATTCTTCAGTGTAAACAGTTTTCACTAAGCTCTATCCCATCTCTGGCTACTCAGCTTGTCAGCACCGTCCATTTAGCAGCCTAGGTTGCCATGTGGCTTCCTCATCAACAACACCTGAACAGTGTGAAGGAGCCATAGCACAGAACCAGACCACAGCGTGATATATGGTCATGGGTTCAGAAGCAAAAACTGAATGTCAAGTTGGCTGACATTTTTTCCCCTAAGGATGAACAGTGTTTGTGGAACAGCAGCGCTTTAATAAGGGAAATGACAGCTTTTCATTTGGCATCTTTCCTTCTGGATGTGCCGAACATGTCACGCGCTACTGTAGAACCTGATCCAGCGGACCTTGCCATGGATATTACTTTACCATGGACAGAAGTGGGTCACCAGTAGTGCTACCTGATATTGGGATCCCACATGTCACACAATATTTTATCTCTGTACATCCTCTGGGATGAGTGAAGGGGGGCCACAGACAGCAAGGCGACTAGCTGGGTCGCACATTTGCTCCACGGGTCGCCTGGGACACTTTCTCCAATCTTCTTCTTCACTTTTCCTCCATCTCTCCTCTCCTCCTCCACACTCCTTCCCCTGACTATTTCAAATTGCCAGCAAATCCATTTGCTACTGTTTGATGGCCAGGCATTGCTGCTCCTCCCCCTCATCTATTGCTCATTTCAGACTTATTTAGCTTTCTCTGCAGTGGTCTTGCCTCTGCTCCTATTATGCGAGTCGGTAAAAATGTTGCCATATGTCAAAGGAATACTCCAACGTTTTTCACTTCAGTCCGTTGCCATGGACAATCTTTTTTAAATGTTTTTCTGCGCTTAATAAAGAACAGAAAACCTGTTGACTCAAAACTCATTTATAATAGAAGTCAATCGGCAGGTGCAGCTGCACAGTGTCTGGTACTGTATTATAAGCTGTGCAAAAGTCAGAGACCATCCTTCATTTAATTAATCCTTTAATTAATCCATCCTTCATTTATTTAATTTCCAGTCAAAACAGCCATTAACTACAAGTTATCCTGCTATAAAAGGACCATTAGAAGCTTTAGGATTAAAACCTAATGGTTTTGCTTTCTAATAGGAATTGGCTTAATAGTTTCCAATAGATCCCACTAGTTTCCTGTAGAATACCTTTAGATCCCACTAGAACACCATCAAATGCATTTAGGATCAGCCATTGGTCAGCTGTTAAACCATTAGGATGCTTTACATTGTGATATCAACCTATTAAAAAGCCAAAACACATTATAAAACTATTAGGAACCAACAGAAACACTGGATGGTTTCTATGGTTTTTTTTTCTTTTTTTTTTGGTATTCATTTTTTAGCATAAGAAAAAAGCAGAACAAATGTATTTGACAGAAAATTGCAAACAAGTAAGCATTTCAATTTTTTCATCATTTAGGCCCAATCCCATTTCACCCCCTGCCACTTAGCCCTTAGCCCTCTGTTTTGCGTGTTCACGTCTAGGGTTAGGGTGTCCCAATTTTTGTTGAGATAGAGGGGTAGGGTGAAGTGTTAGGGCTACATGACCCTCCAAACGGAGGTTTTTTAGAGACACACTCCAAACAGAGTGTTATGAGAAAAAAAGGAAAACCAACAAGATGGCTGTGCAAGCCAAGTATTTTCTCCGTTAAAAATTACGATAATTATTGTATTTTCTTAGTTTAACATCATTTCAATGTATTGTGGTCATTTTCTTCATAACAAGCATAAAAAATCGTTAATAGCATTTTAATGTTTCAGTAGCTAGCTAGCTAATTTTCCTGTTCCACCTTAAATAGTCCAGCAGTTCTGACGCCTGCTGCACTATTTAAGGTGGAATGGGAAAATTAGAACAAGAAGCTGGTGAATAGCTGACTTCAGCTTTGTATCACCAAAGAATCAGCGGTGCAGTGACCGATAATAAATAATTGTCTTATACCCCCTCTTTGAAAGCATGTGATGCCCTAAATGTAACTAAAGTCCAGCAGTGAGGTTGCTGAACTTTACCGTCCTCTGCTATCACTGAAGATGGGCCGGGTCACCTACAGAGCACTGCTAGTAGCTGTTAATGAAGTAATGTGTTTTTTTGTTTTTTTTATTTGAGGGTCCCATTTTGTAGGGCAAGTTTTTAACCACTACCCCTTGTAACTCAGTTCCAAGGACACTCGAAAACAAGGGGTAGGGGTAAAAAGAAGAAATGGGATTGGGCCTTATTGTGTCCACCTTTTGCTTTTATTACAGCTTCTGTTCTTTGTGAGATTCTTGTTTTCAGTTTTTTCAAAGAAATCTGCAAGGAGATTTTTTCACACTTCCAAAGTTCAGTCTTAGACGTTGGTTGCATTTTCTGCTTCAGTTACATATAAATAAATCTATAAAACATTACTCCACATCTCAGGTGTCCAGTTTCAGTGTTCAAATTCTCATCTTTGTGTGTCTATTTGGTTTTCTCAGTAAGGTCTTCTTGACAGCTACACATCCTTTCAGACACATAGCACTGAGTTGTCTCCTCACAGTGGAAGGATGGACAGAAACACCTGTGGATCTTTTCAGATTTGGAACAAGAGTGGAGCTTGATTTTCTCCTCTGTCTCAAAGATGAAAGCTTTAAGTGCTGTTTGTCTGATGGGGACAGTTTTGGTGTCTACCAGGTCTTGGACTGTTATTAGGAGTCTAATTTTTTTTTTATCTTTTTTTTATTAAAACTCCAGTTCTGTTCACTTATTTTCTCTTGACTTTCCATTTGCAAGTGGATTATTTTGTGTCTAATCTCCATAAAAAATATTTCCTGAAAAAATGAATAACTTGTATTTAATGGCTGTGTTTCTAAGTATAGGGAAATCATTTGTATGCCTAATCCACTATATGCTACAGATGCAGTAGATTGAGATTAGGTTTTAAAATGCAGCGTTTGTAAGGAGCTAACACAATAAAAATATAATCCTTTGTAGCATACAGTGTATATAAATACAGTGGAAAGGACAAAATACTTGTTTTAGAGTCATGGCAAAGCCTGAAATTAGTCTACCTGTCCCCTGTCCCTTCTGCTCAACTGTAGCTCTTCTGTATTCTGCAGCACCCCACCCACCCCCCCCACCCCCCTGTCCAACCACATGTTTTATTAGGATTGTCAAAGTGTTTAATCTGGCATATCAACAGCACCAGCACTCTACACTAAATCCACGTTTTTCCAGCAGCTCCCATTGTAAATGTTCTTACACAGGCACACAACAGACATGTATGTTTTTGTATGGCTGCCATAAATTGTTAGGTCTTAGCAGTGTGGCAGCTGTAATAGATGTGTCTGGGGCCCAGCGTTGCGTCTGTGTTTATGTGAAACATACACAGCCTCTTAGACATAGTCCTATCGCCAGCCATGCTGGTAAACTGTTTTATAGCAATCCTCACTCCCAGATCCCCTGTCATCCATCTCCACTATGTCACCTAAAGCCTGTTTAGCTAACCTTGCGTAAATAATGTTATGTTAGTCTCTCTTAACCTCCTGATTCTTTCTCTACCTGTCTGCTACCCCACAGATGAGCTGAAGAAGCAGTTGGAGGTGAGACGGATGCAGATGGCCGCACAGGGTAGGTGATGTCTATCATCCGTACTCCATCATGCCTGTCTACTGAAGTCAACAGAGGGGTTTCCTTATCTTTTATAATGACTTTTAAAGTTCAAGTGGGTGGGTGAGTTTCCTCATCATTCACAAAACAATTAGGTACACTAGGCCTGGACATGATGGTGTTTGTTAATCGCAACCGGGACATTAACCTTCACAATACACAGCACCAATAGGGCAAAAGTACAATATGTAAATGAGCCTTCTAACCAATCACTGACTGTTTTATTGTCTGGTGTGAGCATGCTGACCAAACACAGTGTTCTTTGGAAGTTTAGAGGAATTGAGGCATGCACAAGACCCAACGAACATAAATCATTTTGATCGATTATGTTTGCAATGTATTTATTTCATTTCCAGTCAAAACTAGAGTTCAAAAAAGTATTAAAACATTTTGAGAAAATGGGACTCCTAACAACCGTGCAAGACCTGGTAGACCACCAAAACTGTCTCCATCACACACACACACACACACACACACACATTTTCTAAGCCGCTTAACCTTCTGGGTCGCGGGGGATTTGGAGCCTATCCCAGCAGTCGTTGGGTGAAAGGCAGGAAACACTCCGGACGGGTCACCAGTCCATCACAGGGCAGACAGACAGACATATACGTTCACAAACACTCACACCTAGGGGCAATTTAGCGTGTCCAATTGGCCTAGCTGTATGTCTTTGAAACTGAAGGGAAACCAACGCGGGGAGAACATGCGAACTCCACCCAGAGAGGACCCTGATCGCCCGGCCGGGAATCGAACCCAGGCCCTTCTTGCTTGAGGTGGCACTGCCCCCATCAGATAAACAGTATTAAAAGCTTTTATCTTTGAGAAAGAGGAGAAAACGAAGCTTCACCCTTGCTTCGGATCTGAAAACATCTAAAAAGGAAAAGACAAAAAAATAAAATTTGCAAACCAAACAAAGAAGCTGCTGGTGTCCTTAGAGCAGTGGACTGGCCACCCCAGAGTCCAGACCTGGACAGCATTGAATGTGTTTGGGATTAATTGGATTGTGAGAAGCACAAAATGCAAACAACTTCTAAGACTGAACTTTAGAGTGTGGAAAAATATCCCTGCAGATTTCTTTGAAAAACTGAAAGCAAGTCTGTAATAAAGGCAAAGGGTGGAAACACACACACACACACACACACACACACACACACGCACACACACACACACACATATTTTCTAAACCGCTTATCCTTCTGGGATGCAGGGGGTGCTGGAGCCTATCCCTGCGATCATTGGGCAAATGGCAGGATACACCCTGGACAGGTCGCCAGTCCATCGCAGGGGAGGGTGGAAACACTAAATACTGAAAAATTGATGTTCTAATTAATATGATGTTACTAATTAAATATGCTAAAATATATGCTAATGTATTCTTATGCATATATATCCTTGATATATTAGAATGTATATTGCACTTGGTAATGTTATTTTGCCCACATTATACAAGCCTATCCTTTAGTAGCCTCTTTGCATTGTAGTATATTTACAAGTATGCTTTTGGTAGATGCTCTTATCCAGAGCAACCTACAGTTTAATCATGTTACAGAGGTAGCGTTATTAGTTATTAGTCACAATGACTCTTATTGGTATAGCATAGCATGCTTGTCCAAGCAGAGAATCGAATCCCAGTCTGCTGCGTGGAGGGTGGTGGTGTAATCCACTACACTATACTAGTCAATGAATCACTGAATAATAAGCCTAAGATTGTAACAAGCCTGGGCTTTTAAGGGTCAATTCCCTTTCCCTTTTGGAAATAAATATCTGGGTACATTTTTGACTCATTTTTGTTTTTTATATAGAGCAAAATTTATCGCAATAACCTAAAATATCACAATGTGACTTTTTGCCCAATATCATTCAGCCCTGATGTAGAAACAAATTTGGATTAGACAGAATGGGATGAGTGTGGGTGGCATGGCACTGACACTGATACCTTGTTCTTGATAAACAAGTTGGAAGAGGGCAGCTCCATGTGTACAAACATAACCTATGCAGCCAGTGGCCTATCGTTTAACTGCATCAAAGAAGAATTTCTAAGAAGGCTGCTTTTTATTATGGTGGCACATGTACTAGAAACACACCCAAGAGCCTTGAATATAGCCATTCTGTATACAGAAGCTTTTGACTTCATGGTGATTGGGTGTGTTGCTATGAGTGTCCTGTCTACAGCGACTTTGTGGAGTGTTTATGAAAGACTACAATATTTTGGTTCTGTGGTAGCGTGTGTGGCCTTAACCACTCACTGTTAGATGTGGAGTTTGTTGGTGGCATTATGTGAGCTGATTCTGTGTCTCAGCTCACATTGCTCTAAAAACAAACAGAGGGAAACGTCCCTGCTGTACCACTGACCAGGGCCAGTTTCCCAAATGCACCTTAGTGTTAAGATCATCTTAATGGGTAGAGAAAGTGATCAGTGTGATGCTCGCTCTACCATATGGGAATCATCTTTGTGCTGAGATGCTTTTGGGTAACCCAGTCCAGTCTAGTAACCAAAGGACTGACCAATGTGAATGGAGAGTTAGAGGATGGACAGTATAAAGCACACCATTCCCAAATCGAGCGTCTGTGCATCTGTGTACGAAACAAAGACGAAAACAAATCATATTGAACTGTAAAAATAAATGAATATAAAAATGAAGGCTGGTTTCTTCTACTTCAGGTGTAACGGGGGGGCAGCAGAATTCAGAATCGGACCCTGTAGAGGAGAGACTCCGCAACCAGATTGAAGAAGAGAAGAAAAGGTGTGTTTTATTCCTCAGATGCTTGCGATATGGTCCGACACGTTCTTAAAGGGGAATTCCACTGATTTTTCTAAATTTCTGCATAACTCATCCATTGAGATGTAAACAGTCCTTGAGAGTGGTTTGATGTGAAATGGTTCATTGTAGAGAAACATACTAACTCAAATCTCTTTACTATAGTGGTGATAGGAACCAGGGGTCGCAACATCTACAATGCAAATATAGCTATTTTATTCACTATCTTTTGAGTTTTTATATGTAATATGGATGATGGTGAAGTCTGAAAAAGAAGTTTTCTTTGAGGACTGTTTTTCCTTAAACATGTATTTTAGGTCAAAGTCTTATCTCAAACTATGATGAAACACTGTCCCACACATCAGACAGCATATTCATAACCATTTCTTGTAATAATTATTTCTGCAGTTGCTGTAAAGGGCATTAAACTCTTAAGACATCTGGTTCACCAGCACTGTGAACAGCTTTCTCTAGAACAGCGCATTTCACATCAAACCACTCTCAATCACTTTGTTCACAATCTTAATCATTTAGCTATGCAGAAATTTTTCAAAATCTGTGGAGTTCCCCTTTGTCTTTTAACAAACAGCAGATATCTCTACAAATTAGTGTACAAACTCAAATCTGCTCATATGGAACAAACAATATATTCCAAATGAAATGTATGAAAATGGCCAAAAATGTATTTGTTAGATATATTTTTAAAATGCATTTTTTGTATTTGCTGTTATATCTTTTTACATTTTATGTAGCTTTAACAAAGTTTACACATTTTCCTAAATGTACTGACTTCTGTGTTTTTCAGTGTACTTTGCATTAATCACTGTATGTATATGGTAGAACAGCACTCACACAAAACATATGTCAAACAAACAAGATATCAAATCAACAATCAACTGCATTTTCATAGTGTATTAATACCTACAGCACTTGCTTTGCCATATTAAATATTCATTTGCTAATGTTTACAATTAAGATAGTGGAATACAAATTCATTTCAAAGGGTTTTCCAGACAGTAAGGTGCATTAGACAATTATGTAGGCTATTTTCATACATTTTCAGATGTATTTGATAAATACATTTACATACATTTTTTTGTATGATACATTTCTGTGTGTAGTATTTCTCTATACATGTTATAATACATGTATGTTAAAATATATTTGGTTAATATGCCAATATATTCAGAAACACATGTTAGCGTTTGTAATGTATTTGACTTGTGTTTGAAATAAACAAAAATATATGTCCATATATTTTTTTTCCATATGCATGGTATTCATTTTATATGCCTTTACTGTTCCTTTTATAGTTATAAGAGCACTTTTGGGCATTTGAAAGGCTTGAAGACAGAGATCGAACATCTACAGCACCTGCTACACAAGTCAAAGATCAAGCTGCAGAAGGATTTTCAGGACTGGTGGACCCAGGAGGCCACAAAGCTGCAGGTTCCATAGCTCTTCATCTGACGTACCTCACAAAACAGAGCTTGCGTAAATTCAGTTTCGCAAAATCAAATTGCATCTGTCTCCCAGACCCAGAAATAGCCAAAGAAGTGGTCTGCTGTGCCGTCTCCAGATGGCTGATGTTGCTCAGACGTCTCTCAGATCCAATGTGGTCCATATTTTTAATGTTATTCAGCAACATCTGACCAGCAGACTGAGCTGGAAATGCCCTGTTTTGATCTCGTCAATAGGAAATATGAATCCATCCATTCGGGCTCATGAGCAGCTGTGCAGCATTTCGCCATCCGTGAATATTTCGCTCATCGTTTCCGGAGGAAATGGCTCATCTTGCACTTTGACTTTGCGTGTTCTGTTTTGAGTTTAGCTATTAAACTATTAAATTGGGGTTGAGAGATATTTAAGACCTCTTCTAGTGAACAAACAGTCTTTTATTATACAATGGAAACGTCTGCCTGAAAAGTTTATAGGAACTCCAATTTTAGGACACTAAAGTACCTATTAGCTTATTAGCTTCTGAGTCAGCTTTGAATTTAGGGCTTAATTTAGATAATGTTTTCTCTCTGGAACAGCAAACTACAATTTATTCATAAGGTCTACTACTACTTTTTTTTCAAAATACAGATGTCAGGATCCAAGACATGTTCGAAATCTGCTTCAGCGCAATAGCAGTGAAAAAAAAAGTACTAACAACTTAATGGACAAAGAGACAGCATCACAAAGAGACACCAAAACCTGCAAAAAAACATTGTCTATAAAAAACTTCACCCCCTTGGAAGTTTTCATGGTTTATTATTATACAACATTGCATTACAATGGATTTAATTTTTCTTGCTTGTTTGTTTTTTTTTTACACTGATCATCTTTGATGTCAGAGTGAAAACAGATCTTTGCAAAGTGATTTAAATTAATTACAAAAATAAATCACAAAGTATGTGATTGCATAAGTGTTCATTGCCATCCTTTGGCAGCAATCACAGCAATTTTTTCTCAGACCTCTTTGCAAAACTGCTCAAGTTCTGTCAGGTTGCATGGGAGTCATGAGTGAACAGCCTTTTTCAAGTAGAGCTACAAATTCTGTATTGGATTGAGATCTGGACTCTGACTCAGCCCCTCCAGGACAATAACAATGCTGATTTTAAGCCATTCCTCTGTAACTTTGACAGTGCTTAGGGCCATCCTGTGCTGAAAGACAAATCTCCCAAAGCTTAGGTTACTTGCATAATACTGAATGTTTTCCTCTTGAATTGATTTGTATCTTGCTGCACTCATTTTAACCTCTGCCCTGCTGCAAGAAGCATCCCATAAACATGGGGCTGCCACCACCATGCTTCAAGGTGGGGATGGTGTGTTTATGATGAGGTGCAGTGTTTGGCGATAACTTCCAGGGGGTGAATACTTCACAGGCATTGTCGATCACGTTAAAACTAGTCAGACAATATCGCTAACTGAGTGTTCTCTTAGCATCAGTCATATCAGAGCTATGGTGTTTAGTTCACATAAATATGTGAGATTTTAGCCAAATGTGCTCACGGTGTCCATGTGTATCATTTTGCAGAAGGATCCACGACCAGAGAGAGTGGAAGTGAAGCAGAGCCAGGACAGCACAACCAGGTAAGACTAAACATTCCTCAGATACACTCAGCTCCATAATTATTGACGCCCTCGATAAAGATAAAAAAGTTTTATGGTTAATTAGCTCAGTCTCACATTGAAAATATATGGTTTTGTTAAAAAAAATATATTTTTGATAAGGATTTTTGTTGTCTTAGATTAAATTTACTTAAAGGTTAGATCTCATATTTTTCAAAGTAAGATTGAGCTACTTAACAACAAAGACATTTTATTTTTTTTACCCACCTTTTTCAGTTATTATGGAGCTGACTGTACATACATCTCCCAATACAGGAAAAGTAAGACAAGTAAAATTGGATGTGACCCTCATGACCATATCTTTTTCTTTGGCTATGTCATTTACATCTGAATTAAGCTCAACCTTTAAAGAGCTTTTGCTTTGCAGGATATCCATATGCAGTACATTTATTTATTTTTCTAAATAAATCAATTTGTTCCACAAAAATGCTGAAGATCTTGGTCATATCTTAACCACACATATCCCCAGTCACAGCGATATATCTTTATGAAAAATATTTAAAGCAAAACACAGATTTTTGATAAGAAAGTGCTTTAGGCTCAAAGCATTTGTCATGCAGCTGTAGTTATATATAGTACTGTCAAAGTGTGTACGAGAAAAAATGGGTGAATTATTTGGTGGGATAATGGGAATGTATTTTGGCAGCTGATTTGAGCATGTGAGGAGAACATCAGCGCTTCCTCTCAGTGCATTCAACATTGACAGGAGAGTCTATTTTGGTATTTCTGAACTTGCAGCCCCCCTAGTGGACGTATATTCTGCAGGCTCCAAATGACATGGTAGGATCAGCAGTCTGCTGGTCAAATTCATTCTTTTTCAGCACTGAAACTGACTGCTTTGTGTCCAGTCTGAAAGTTATAAGACCAAGTCATAATTATTTTTTTTTTCTTTCTACAAATTATTCTGGGTCAGTTTTCCAGACAGGGAGAGATTAAGCCTAGTCCTGAATATGGATTTTCATTTCAATAGAGAATCTCCATTCAGAATGCTGTGTAGTCCAGGACTAGGCGTAGTCCCAGTCCAGGAAACGGATCCTACAAGTGCCAGTCACAACATATCGTCGCTGTCCAAAAAAAAAAATCTGTCTTCATTTTTGTCGATTTTTTTTTCTACCTCATTTTAACACACCAGCTTTTTTACATCGTGTGAAAATTGTTGAATGGACCAATAGAAATGCTCAAAAATCACTTGGAATAAAATCTCTTTACATTAACTTTCATTAAAAGGTAAGAGGGTTTTTGCCTTCTCCTGTAAAGTTACTGTTTTGGAGATACTTGTTTTTCTTTGGAAAGTGATCATATAGTAAATAAAGTGTATAATTTGCCTTTTGGAGTGGAAATCCAGAGTAGAGTGAGCTGGCTTGGCAGCTGAGTTGGGCCTAGAGTTCTCCTTTGGTCTCCATTAAACTCTTAAAATGGGCAGGATAGCACTTAATATTTCACCAAGGCCAGACATGAGAAGAAACAAACAGTTTATCATTTATTTATCAGTTATTTTCCCTGTGTTTTATTCTCATAAGGCTCGTTGTGATCTTTTAGACATTCCAGTTCACCTGATCATGCCATCAGCACCCAAGAGAGAAAACTCAGAGACCTACCTACTCCATCTGCAAGAGATCTGAGGTAAACAAATATGAGGATAAACATATCCTGAGTACAAATAGATCAGTCACATTCAGCTGGATATATTAAGCGTTATGAGGATATATTAAATGTTATTATAGTTATTTCTGAAAGAGCGTTCAGTAAGTCATACCATACAAATGGTTTAATTCTGTAGAGTTGAATAAAATCTGATGAAAAATACAACTAATATGACTAGAATTACCACATCTAACCCTATTTTAAGAACCACAGATTATAGAATAGAAATGGCACAACATATCACTCCTGTGTACATTTAGGTATAAGTTTAGATATTTGAGCTACTTTGGTCTGACAAACAACGTGTTTACATGTTTCAGTACAAAGTCTCATACTTTAGACCAACTTATAGATCAACTCAGGGCCCCAATGGTCCATAGCTTTGCTCCACTTTTACCTTTATACCAGATATTCTGTATGCTTAATGGCTTGGTTATATGTTCATGTGTATGCTTTTCAGAGCCTTGTCTTCCACTGCCCTGTCCTCTTCATCTATCCCACTAACTGGAGACCAGCAGACTGATGCGGATATCATGGCCTTCATCAAGGCCAGGCAAAGCCTGCTTACCAGAACAGGTACCTCTTAAGTACTATTTAGATAGAACTAGTTTTACATGTGGAGGTAGGGTGAAGCCAGTTAACCACTAGATGTGTTTAATGCTTATAACCAATTTGCACAGGATAAGAAATCTGTCTTTACTGCAGAAAAGAGTAGAAAATGACAAAATATTTGATATAGCTGTTATTATATTTACCCTAACCATCTGTCTGGCTGTCTTAGATGGATTAGCATCATCACTGGCTTGAGAATTCACAGCCAACAGTCAACATCAGCATGTAAAACAAAACGAAACGTCTTACATTTTAATGTCCTGAGCTGCACTCCTGAGCAGGATAGTACATATCAGCTTGATTTTAGCCATGGGGAACACAAGTAAATGCTTCTTCGATACTTAAGAAACCCCTTGTCCACAGAATATGATAGCGCTTTACTTAATGTCAGTCTCACAGGATTACTATGACCTGGGGCTATTTCTATGCTTTGTTTTATAGAAGGTTATTGTGCTGGAGAGTTTTGAGTTTTTTAAACTTTAAAGGATCTTTTGAGAGCTACACAAACATCTTGTGTAGTGAGCACCCAAATAAATAAAAAAAATAATTCATTTACTTACGATCTCCATAATTTAGAAGTTAACCTTTTCAACTCCTTGAGACCACCGGTGGTTCCAAAACGCACTTTGTCATATTCTTCATAACTTTCATATTTCATAAGCTACATTCAAAAGGTGGGGGTCGTATGAGAGCTGTAACTGTCTTCTTTCCAGTCAAATAGATGGGTAATGGAATTTTAAACCCTTATAATAAAAGAAGCTGAACTCACAATTTTTTTTGGTAACACTTTACTGTAGGGTGCTGGTCATAAGGCTTTATGACACCTACATAAGCTTGTCATGTCAAATGACATAACCATACATAAATGTTTATTAATGCTTATTCCAATAGGCGTCATTCGCTATAAAGGTTAGATTTGCCAGTTTTGATCAAAATTTGCTAAAGTAGTCTTTATGACGATGACGCCTATTGAAATAAGCATTTATGTAGGGTTATGTCAGTTGTCATGACAAGCTTAGGTAGGTGTCATGTAGCCTTATAAACAGCACCCTACAGTAAAGTGTTACCTTTTTTTTTGTCTACTGAAAGTCGACCCATTTTTCCACAAATCTGGGCTATAAACTATAAACAGATGGCGTCTCTTCAGTGATCTGCTCTGTAAAAATTATTTTTATAAAAAAATACAAACAGCGTCTAAGATTTTTGGCTTTCAGCAGTAAAATGTAAGCATCTAGCAATATGTGTATGATCATAAAACACATTTTCTGTTCATTTGAGGGGAGCTTTTACAAAAAAACAAAAAATAAATAAAATAAAATTTTACATTTATTTGATGCAGTTACTAAATAATTTGCCTTACGATTTGGTCATGAAAATTCAGATGGAAAAACCATAATATACCCTGGTCAGTATTAATGTAGTGTCCAGCCGGAGCAGAAACACACTCAACAGCAAGGCACACAGTAACTTGTCAGCAATAATGAAGTTACACAGTTACTAAAGAACACAACAGAGACGTACGCATAAAGGGAAAGTACACAAAGTGTGAGTAAAACAAAGGGGGAAGATGCACCCAGTATACAAACTGGTGTCAGGAGCCAATGGAAAAGTTAGGAGTCTCTGCAAAAGGGTTGCATAGATCTATGAAGTCATGTCATGATGTTGTAGTTGGTCATGTTAGGGAACTATTAGGGTCTAAACTGGTTTTCTCTATGATACAAATGAATGGGATTTTTGAAAATATCGCACACTGAGGTAAACAAAGTCTTCCATAGCCGATACGTTTTGCTTTACATCCATTTTTCCTCCTAATGTTGATCCTCCGAGTTAGAAGGTCAGTAAGAGGCCGAAATATGACTATTGCTACATGCAAGCTAACACTGCTGTGCTCACTGAACTGACATCATAAGACCGCCAGCCTCTCAGAAATACCCCACACAAAGTATGGGGTTTGGAATATTTTTGTTTACCACTGGGTGCAGCGGAAGTGATTTTGAAAGCAGCTTTCGTTTTTCTCATAGAAGAAAACTGCTTTAAACCCAGAGTTTCTATTACAGGCACCACGCCGACTACAGAGTGATGTACAACTTTAGAGGCCAAATGACCAAACAAACACTCGTCAAGTAAAACTGACAAACATACGGACTCAGTTTTACCCAGTGAGAGAAAACTGATCAAAACCAACAGTGCAGTTTAAATCCATTTTTGAGTGCACACACAATCCCAAACGCAAGTGAAATGAAAAGATGTTTCACATTTACAGGATCTTTTATTATTAACAGCCAGTGTTAATCTAGGACAAAATGCTTACAGGGCTTCCTTAAGCAGAGTTATAAAAAACAGTTATAAAAACAAGCTTAACAAAAAAAATCTATTCATGAAAACAAAAAAGAGCAAATAAAAGATTGAAAAAGAATTATATTTATGTATCACCTATGGATCAACGTTGTTAACAGCTGCAGAAGGTGATCACAGTGTGCGCTGTCTGACAAAAGATCTCTGCTGAATAACCCAGATTCAGAACTACTCTTTGGGAGGATCGTGAACCAGTGCTTGCTGCATTGGCAGGTTAAAAAGATGATGCTTTTTGAGACGTTAGTGACTGGTTTAGTTTGCCCTGAGTCTGGCTGACTGGAGCTGGTTAGCCTTGCTGCTTGTGGGATTAGTGAGCTAGAGTTGTTTGGGTTTGCTGCTTTAAGTAGTGGTGCACTTGGGTTCTCTGCCTGAGGAAGTACTATGGTAGAACTTGTGGGGTTTAATACTTGCGAAATTGCTGCTTGTGTAATTAGTAACTTTGGTTTGCCTCTTTATGGGGTACATAAATTACGTTTATTGCTTTTGAAGGTGGTAAACTAGAGCAGTTTGAGGTTAGACGTGGTTGTGTGATAGAAGTGGTTCTGGTTGGTTTTGAGGTGAAAGTAGAATAGTGCTCACTGGATTTTCTGCTTGAAAAAGTAGTGAACCTGAAGTGGTTGGGTTTGTTGGAGGTAGTGTGTTGGTGAGGTGCTGGACGTGGCCCTATGCTGAGGTGCTGGACGTGGCCCTATGCTGAGGTTTGCTGTTTGAGGGTTAGAATATATTCAGTTTGCCGTTACAGTTTGAAGGAGAATAGAGATTGGTGGGTTTACTGTGGGGGGTTGTACCCCAGGCCTGGTTGGAAGCACTATTTAAGGTGAAAGTCCAGCAGATATCGATGGGTTTACTAAACATTTGAACCGCTTGGATTTGCTACTTGAGGCGTCAGTACAACAGGCTTGTCCGAATGAGCCTCAGCTGCATTTGCTCTCATAAAACTTTTCCCTGCATTTCTTACAAAGTCTTTGATATTCTGCGTAGTTCTACGACTCAGCACAGGTTGCTCCAGCATTAGGCAGCGTTGACACTCTGGCACTGAAGCCAGTTTCCCATGGTAAATGTGTTTTTTAAAGTGCTTCATGACTGCAGCTTTCTCTGCTATTGTCCATGGCTTTTTTATACACTTCCTCCTGGGCTCATCCAACTTATTTTCCACCTGAACAGGACTCTCTGCCGAGGAAATGGGAAACACTGCAATTAAGATAACTAAGTAAAACAAAATTTTAAAAATGATTTAAGTATCAAATTGTACTTCTTTGTTAGAGGCTAACAAGTGTTAATGATAGCTTTGGCTTTGAATGTGGGGCAAAATACCTTTAACAGCTTCTTTATTTGCAGAATCAGTGCCCCCTTCCTCACAGGGTTCAGTAGACCCAGTGCACGCTGTCTCTGATGTCTTAGTAGATCTAGTGTTCTGTTTCTTCCATATATTCTGTGCTGCAATCTGCAGTCTTGCCCTGCATTGTTCAAAAATCTCTTTTTTACAGAAAAAATAATACATCGTGAGCACAGACAATTGGATAGAATTGGGAATGATAATACACAATCATTTAAAATCATTTATAAACTGCACAGAATTCTCTACTGAACGTATATTCTATAACTTACTGTTCTATAAAATATCCATATGATGAAATTTATGCTATGGGTATCTGACTAAAGACCATGAACAGTCAAGTTTGGAATAAGATTGATAATCAAAATCTGATCTGTGTTTTTGATGGGGGAAATAACTTACCACACTCTTTCTCAAAATCATCTTCACTGTCGCTCTCATAGATCTCATCTGAAAACATAGTATTTTGTTTTATAGTTCAGAAACTGTGGCAAATACTGGATATTGTCAGTACAAACGGCTAATATGATGAAAAATCTAACATTTCCTTGCTTTTTTGAAATGAAAGAATTGAATGCAGTATGGAAACACTGGTTTTAAAACAATGTTTACTCCACAGTCCATATATGGAAATTAAGCTGCAGCCTGTTTTGAACTGAACTGAACACTGAATTGCTTTTTATGTCAAAACCAAAAATCCATCTATTCAGCTCACAGCAGTTTAGCACAACCTATTAATGCAAGTTATAAGGAGTGTTTCCGACTGGGCTGCTTTTTGAGCGAGGCACAATATGGGGCAGCCAATCAAAACCAAGATCATTTACATGTGTCAGAGAGTTCTGTTCACACTTTTGACAGTATTTTTTAAATGTGACATTACTGGTTCTGTTTTGTCTGTTCCAACTCATCAGACATCAGAAAAACTAAATATTGTGATTCATATAGTGTATCATGAAGATATCTCGCCCACCTCTATTTTGGAAATCTGAATGTTTGAAAATATTGTTCAATTACAAATATATACTTTTAATGCACTACAAAAAAATACATTATAAAATAAAATAAAATAATAATACAATAAAAGTCCCTAATAGTCATCTAGCTCAGTGAGTGCTTCTCAGCCCAGTCCTTGGGGCCCACCTTATTCCACATTTTTGCTCTACCACAGATCCCATCAGAGATGTTAAAGCAAAAATCACTGGACACTGAAAGACAGGAACATACCTGGCAGTGCGATGTCATCCAGAGACTCTCTAAGCAGCTCAGCAGCACTTCCCTTCTCTATGGCCAAAATGAGCTTGCAGAGTTTGGCCAAACGTGCTGTGGCCTCAGGCTGTCGGTAGTACGCCTTTCGGACACTTATATCATGGCCAATGAACTTTGCCAGCTTCTCAAGCTCTTGGTTCTTCAGGCTGAGGACTTGGGTGAGTGTAGCTATGTGTCTGCTGAATGAAGTGGACCTGAGCTGCTCTGGATTTACTGCACCACTTTCTTTGGCACAAATTCTTAGAGCATTTTCTCCCCTGTAGCTGTACCTGCTGCCTTTGGGTTGGCCAAAAACAAAGATGTTACTGTCACAGACACCACATTGCTCTCTTTTCTCAATCAAGAGCAGCAATGCACTGATCATTTCTGGCGTTAAAATGATCGCTACTTGGCCTTCCACGATCTGCTTGACCTCAATTCTGCAGTAATGTTTAAAGAACTCTTTTTCAAATTCTGTAAGTGCATCTTCAGGGACCTGCACTTTGTCTCGTTCCTGGAAAGCTTTGATGGTCATTTGTGAGACTTCTCCATGTCTGCGATTGAACGTCAGGATTTGTGCCAGTGTCACTTTGGAAAGGTCTGCGTAACTCTGAGCAGTTGGCTTCTCTTTCAGTTCCTTTAGTGCACGTTGTGAGGCCTTTTCCAGATAGCAGTGAAACACTCTGACGTCCTGGACAAAAGGCAGTAAAGGAGGGTTGCCGAAAACTGGAGTCACAAATTTTCTGTCGCCTAAAGCAAACTGAGACCGTGCATCATTAAAAAGCTTGAAAAATACAGCAGTCAAGTCTATTAATCTTCTGTCATGAACTTTGAATGCTTTCTCTGCAGTCATGATGCAAAATTTTCTCAATATCAGTCCAATTCGGCGTGCAAGGCCTGGCAACACAAAGCAGTTTGTTTCTTCATTAAATTCAGCAATTTCTTTGACGGCTTCAATAACTTTCGGAAAGTTTAATGGTTTTATAGCTTCAGCCAAGTTCCTTATGGATGATTTCTTGTGCAATACAATCAAAAACTTCCCAATACATCGAATAGTTTGTCTAACAGACACATGTCTTTCTTTGGCTTTGCTGTTTTTGTCAAAAAAATCTTGCGCCAATCTCAGTACATGCTCGTCATTTCTGACAGCTTGCGCTACTTCATCTTGATGCATTCCACAAAGCACCTTCTTCACATCCTCTGAAAGATGCTGCAGGTGTGGGCATTGTGCCATAGCTGCTAAACCCAAGACTTTGGTCTTTGTACCTTTTGGCGTATCTCTGTCAGGATTGGATCTGCAGCGTCGAACGTGTTTCCAAAGTTCTTTACGCATATACAGCCCTTTGCAGTACATGCAGTATTCAAACTTTCGCGTATCAATGTTGTCTTTTGGTGTTCGTATAGCCTTGATCACTCCTCTACGTTGGCTAAGAACCTTGTTGTTGTGTTGGTAATTTCCTCTGTTCCTTAGTACTTCTAGGATGCGTTTCCTTTCTTTTGATGACTTCCGTAGTTTAAAAGCATTTGCAATTTCAAAATTTCCTTGTTTGTGAACTTTCAAATGCCTCGCTATTTTGGTGTAAGCCTTTCCACACACAAAACAGAAGTTCTCCTTGGTGGCCTGTGTGACTAAATGATTCTGATGATTTGGCGTTATCGCTGGTTTCTCTTCATCAGAGTTTTCATCTGAATCTGTCTCAGAGTCAGGTATGAATTCTTCATCTGATGACACCCTTTCTTTGTCATCCACATCTGGGTTTGAGCTCTGGTCATTCTGAGAAGACTGAATATATATATATAAAAAAAAAAGGTATTGTAGTAAATATGGTTAGACTTTAGTGAAGCACTAACAAATGTTCTGCTCAAAATCAATAACAATGCTAAAAAAGAGGTAGTCATTTTTTGTTTAATAGATATATTCGCTGTAATTCATTAATATTTACATTCGTAACCAAGGGGCAGCACTAAAACACCAGAAATCGTACCTGTTCTGCAGGTTGAGATGAGGCTTTGTCACAAGTCTGCTGCTCGCCTTCACAAGCCATCTGCACAGAAAAGACCATTTTGAGTTACACTGCCCATACAAACAAGAGCTTGGTGGCATGAAACAGCTGATAGACTGTGGCCAAGAACATTTCTATTAAAACCACTTCTCTGATAATTTGAGCAATGACCTTAAAGAAATGTTCTCCGAGACACAGTGTGATATACCGCGGTGCGAGGAAGTCACACATGAGTGTTATGGTGAAGAACGTGGTGTTTGAGGTTGGCTTTCTAGAACTACTGAGGTGCTCTGAGCCAAAAGTTGCCCCAGTCACGACATAATGTTCATTTTAACTTGGGATAGTAATGAGCGTTAAATATAGCTCAATAGCTCATTATTGCATATTGCAGTAATTTTATCTTTCGATTTTTTTGGTTATATAATCAATAGCATATTATATTTGCCAGCCTTACATACTCGGTTCTTATGTAGGCTATGTTTAATACGGTTTCGGGCTGTTTGTATTTACATTCATGCCTGGTCCCACCTATCAATACGACATTCCAGGGCCCTTTATAATATCTTGGTACATTAATACAGAATTTAAGCTCATAAGTGTGTGCATATCAAGTATTTTACAATAGCTTTGAATTATAGCTGTGGCGTTCGATGGCTGGGTTTCCCGAGAGCATGTTAGTACAAAAGTAAATGGTAGAACGAGCATCACATTGAACACTCTCTTTACCTGTTAAGATGATCTGAACACTAAGATGCTCTCGGGAAACCCAGCCCTTAACGGTTAATCATTAAGATTTGTGTCGTTTTATCTCCAGGTTTTTGACGCTCTGTGGATACGGATCAGAAGTCATACCTGTACAGCAGGCTGAGTCTGAGATGAATCTTTATCACATGTCTGCTGCTCCCCTTTACAAGCCAACTGCAAGGGAAAGACCATCATGACTCCATATATACTGTCCACGTGTGCCCCCTTCAGGCTAACATTCATTTACGTTGAGGAGTTTCACCTCACTGCTGTGAACCAGCTTATTCGAAACCTATGGACCAGACTTCTCAGACACTGATCAAGCTTAGTCTAGAAAATCCCAACACACCTCGCTATTCATACTTCTGTAGAGGAAATCCCTTTTTATAGGCCCAGTTTAATGTCTATCTTGAAAATAGAGCCTAAATTACTTTAAGACAGAATATTATGTAACGCAAACCTGTTCATCTGTCTGCATTTTAGACGGTTTATGAAGTTTGCATACTACCTACCCTCTTCACCCATACTCTGTAGTACAATGACATAACTTTTCTGTGAGTAAAATCAAAGCATGCCATCTTTCACATTGAAAGTTTCACAAATGAACCTCACCTCTTCACTCACAGGAGCGGAGTCATGATTTCTTTCCAGCTGATTGTTCCCACAGGTCTGCATATAGAACATTTGTGCAGGATTAAAGAGGTTAAGACACAGGAAATCTTACTTGTGCACCTCTCCTAATTGTAAGCAGAACAAATAAATGGAAAGGCCAGTGTTTTAGACAGCCTGATAAACAATGCATTTTCAAAGGTGATGTTATGGAGGTAGAGATGTTATATGAGATGTTATATTATGCCTTAGTGTAGTGCATTAACATAGAATATGTGTACCTAATGCCAAAAAGGAAACTTGATGCACAGCAGTATAAGAGCACCTTCAGATAAACTGGTTTAACTCATTTCCAAGGACCATGTATCACAAAAGCTCATAGGAAATATAACCAAACAAGTTGCAGGACCTATGAAGATATGAGGCCGGGATCAAAGCTGAAAGTTCAACAATAACTAAAAATAAACTACTCAAAATGCTAATTGCTGCATTCTGAACTTTACCTGTTGTGTGGACTCTGTATGAGACTCTTCTTCCACACATGGATCAACTTCCATACAAGTTTGTTGCTCCTCAAAGGCCTCCTTCTTCTGTACGAGAACAAAAATGAACACTTTATACTACAGTACAGAACATGACTGAGAATGTGATGACACAGGTCATTAACCACGGTGGCACAGTGGGTAGCGCTGTTGCCTCACAGCGAGAATGGCCTGGGTTTGATTCCAGGCCGGGTGACCAGGGTCGTTTCTGTGTGGAGCTTGCATGTTCTCCCCGTGTCTGCGTGGGTTTCCTCCGGGTACTCCGGTTTCCTCCCACAGTCCAAAAACATGCAGTTAAGCTAATTGGACACGCTAAATTGTCCCTAGGTGTGAGTGAGTGTGAATGTGTATGTCTGTCTGTCTGCCCTGCGATGGACTGGCGACCTGTCCAGGGTGTATCCTGCCTTCCGCCCAATGACAGCTGGGATAGGCGACCCAGAAGGATAAGCGGTTTAGATGATGTATGTATGTATAGGTCATTAACCAAACAAAGCTGAATCTCGGTAAATTGTTTGGTGGCATGAAACAGCTAAGAGCTGACTGAGCAATTTCCTGAATCTTAACATCAGGCTCAATAACTTCAGCAGATTACTTTAAACGTCTACTGCAGTATCAGCCTGCAGTGAAGAAGGGACCACTTATTTTAATTAGAGTGACATAACCAACTATAACATGAACCTGTTCTGCAGACTGACTGTTGAAAGCCTGTTCCTCACACTCCATCTGCTCCTCATGAGTGACCTGCAATACAGTAAAACGTGCAACTCTTTCTTTGATCGCAGTCAAATAGAACAGAATGATTTATATGTATTGAATGTTTTATATCAATCTGTTTTGTTGCCTTGTCTTGTCTAAAATAAAAAGTCACAGAGGTCAAACCTGATTGGTTGGCTGAGGTTCAGATGGCTCTTCATTCCTGGATATTACCTCTTCATTATTATTGTTCTGGAATGAAAAAAAAAAAATCAAGACCTGAGTGATTTGAAAAAGTCAAGGCACTTCAGAAAGCTTCAGCCCATTAGCTATGGGTAAACACGATCCTATAAGCAATAATGATTAAGAGTTCTCCACTTTGTAGCACTCTTGCGAAGAGCACTACACTCCGATTAAATTTTCATGAAGACTAATTTTCCCAAAGTTAAGTGCTTGCAGTTGATAGCTTAAGCAGAATTGCTCCTTTCCTAAGCGTGCAGCAGACATTCATGGATGCATCAAAAACGAACGATTTAAAAGCCCAACTAAGTGCCAGATCATCTGCTTCATGGAAATGAGTGGGAATAACGATTAACTGTTTAATTTCTGAACTGGTGTTAAACTGATGTTGATATAAGCCTTTTTTGAGTGTAAGTGGTTGTTAGTCTATACCCAGTTATTCTATGAGCAATGCAAGCAACTGAGGCACTTTTCTTCAGCGCAGCTAGTAACAAAGTGAAGCACAGTAACACTAAAGTTTGGAATAACATGACTAATCGTTATTTTGTTCAATCACTACTTAATATGCTTGACTGACATAATACAGCATAGACTGATAAACTAGACAACAGATGGTATTACTTAGAGGCTTTTGGAAACAAGAAGTGATAAACAACATATAGTAATTTACATTTATAGTCACTTCTTATCAGGTTATCTGCCTCATCTCTGATGTTACACAGCTTTATTAGGTGCATTAGGTGTTCATCTAAGTAGTGCTAAATCAAAAATTCTGTGCCACAAGAGTGTAAAAGTATTTGCTCCCTAATGATCTCCTCCATTTTTGCATATGTCACACTAAATGGTTTCAGATCCTCATTCAAAATGTATTAAAAGACAATGAGAACATTAGTTTTTGTGGTTCACTGGAGTTCCAGAGCCTTAGAAGTGGCTTTGTAACACTTTCCAGACTTTCTTTTGATCATGGCATAGTGCGTTGCTTGTTGAGACCTCTTAGCCTACTTCACAATGCTGAAAAGGTTCTAATTAAGTGATGTTTGGATTCAACACGGCTGGCGGCAACCAAGCCTGAGTGTGTCTAGTTTAACTGATCCCAATTATCAATTAAATTAGGTTACCTGGTTGATTGAGTAACTAAGGGGCAATTACTTTTTCACACAGGGTCAGCTGGTGATATTTTTTCTTCAATGAATGAAATGTTTATTAAAAAACTATTTGTTCACTCATGTCTTTGTCTTCTATTAAATTTAGTTTAAAGCTTTAATAATTAAGTGTAAAAAATATGCAAAAAATAGAAGAAATCAGAAGGGGGCAAATACTTTTTCACATCACTGTAATTACTTCAATAACTGAGAAGGACGTAAAGATTTACAATACCTGCAGACTTAACTGGACCTGGGGGAAATCATCCTCACATATCCTCTGCTGTTCCTGACAGTGAAATGAATCAAGTCAAACATTTTCCAGATTCATGTATTAAAGTTCATCACTCTGTTGACTTTGCAATACTGGTCTGCAATACTATGACTTTTCTTATTCTGTCAAGTCAAACATGTTCTGATGTCAGGCTTTGAGATGAAACACTCTTCAATATCATCTACCCCACAAAATCGTTCAGCTTTCAGTAACAAAACAAGTAAATCCATAATTAGGAGTAAACGAGGGGCTAACTCAATATTTTCTGGAAGTCTTACTTGTTCAGTTGTCTGGCTTTGAGAAGCTCTATCAGTACATGTTGGCTCCTCTTCACAAACACGCTACAAAACAAGAAAAACAATGTTTTTAGACAAAACTGTGGATTTATTAATACTGTATATCTGCTTATTTATAATAAAAGAGCAAAACTAGAATACAGTTTGGTGTACTAAAACAAGTGAGATATGTCTTATGGTTTCCTAGGGTGCTCACATACTGCACTAATCAATGTATGTGTGATAGTGTTATAAAGTATATTATAGAGTATATAATAAAGTGATATACTGCAGTAAAATGACAGCACTCAGTGTTTTCCAACACCCTACAAACATCTCAGCCATTTCTGGCTTTTGTACATTAATGTAATCTCTTCTTTCGTGATTGTTAAACCTGAGAACCTGAATGTTGTCTGAGTGTTATGGTTGTAACAAAACAAATATTTTGGGTTCAACATTTTTTCAATATTTTAAAGTATTTTATGTATTTATGTAGTTTATGATTCTTCGGAGCTCTAATTATACTGTATAATACAGTTTGTTTTGGCTCAGACAAATAAAAGTTCTCAAGCAGAATATTTTCAATTTGTCACACAGCTTTCCAACAAAATAAACCTCCAAAATAAATAACCTCCAGGAAAAAAAAAGAAATTCAGTCATTTGAACATAGGTGCACACCTTAGTACTGTAAATACAAATACTGTTATGCCCACACATGGGAGTAATCAGTTTCGATTAAAGGCTGCCTGAAGTTTTACAGTAAATACTTTACTGTTAGGAAATAACAGAAATCAGTGGTTTTCATTGTTTGATCAAATAACAATATTTCAGTTATATTCAGCATGCATGATACATATTCATTACATGATACATACTCAGCTGACGAAATCTCAGATGACCAAACTGGTCACTATTAATATAATCTACAGAGTAAATGTGTTTTTTTTTCGTTTTGTTTTGACTGCACACTTTTCATTTTCCCTCAACAAATCAAACAATTAATGAGCAAATAAAACCTGATGATTAGTCTGTGATGCAGATGCCTCTCCGTTGCTCGTCCGCTCCCCATCACTTGTGATCTAGTATGGAAAGAAATCCAAATAATAAACCCACATAAAACACAGCTACATATTTAGGGTCTCAGAATGAAGTCAGTAGATATTCGAGAGGTTTCCACCATAGAGTGGAGACTATCAGGCAGCTGCCATTGGTATCTGTCAATGCAGAGTTTCTTTCAGGTATCTTGCAAATGTAAACTGCTTATACCTGGTTCACTATTTGTAACTGGGATGCCATTGGTCCCTGGTTCTGGCTTAAAGCTGCACTATGTAAGACTGCTTTGTTAAACTTGGAAAACAATTGCATTATGGAGTCAAGAGAAAAAAATATGCTAACAT